CCCCCTCTCTATCCACACACACACACACTATAAAGCAAATGCACATATAATAATGGCTTGGAATTAACTTTCAAGTAAAATAGTACAAACGTATAGGGAGAAAATTAGACTGAGATTCGGAGACTGAACACAAACTGTATAACGCTAACCAAAAATAACAACGACAAAAAAAAAAAAAAAAAAAAAAAGCAAGCAAAAACCGCTTAGCATGGCTCCGCGTGCGAAATGTTGGACATTTTATCAGTATCAATCCTGGCTTGTGCAGCAAAGCACATCACGTAATCCAATCGCTGCAGCAGTATATATAAAATTTCCGTTAGTGTAAAAAAAAAGAAAATTATTATATATATAGCTTCTTTGTGGTCGCGAACACGGACAGCGACCCTCAGGTTTTTGCATTGAAAAAAATTAGGACAGCTACAAAGCGGAGATACAAAAAGATCCTCTGGCCCTACCCTAGCGTAACTGCCAGTTGTATCTTTGCCCAATAAACGTTTCCCTCTTACATCCTTCACTATTCCAATATCTGCGGTTGTACGATCTCTGCCCCTACTGCTTCGACCGCCGTTTTTAGTGTTCAGATTTTTTTTTTTTTTTTGGTGCTGACTTTTGGTTCCATTAGATACACCTAAAATGATTAATTTTTATTTTAGGTATATGTATATATAGGCATTAATATAAAAAGAAAACAGAGGAAACCCTGTTTTTCTTTTCTTCCCTGTAAACATTTTTTTTTAAATTTGATTTTAAAGAGCCATTTTAGTCCAGTCTATTATTCCTCTTTTTCTTCTTTCTCCCCTTCATTTTTATTTCCTTACTTCATTCCATACCAAAAACTGTTAGAAAAAACAACAACTTAGGAACAACTTTTAAAGGGCAGAGGAAACAAACTGTGCCCACACTCAGAATGGCAAGTGATATTATTATACTAAATAGTAGAGAGTTTTAGCAGATAGTTACGATAACGCCGATAACGATCCCGATAGGATACATGCGCAAAGGCGCCGGGGCAGTTTCGGGTATCCTTATCGGAGTCATCGGAACAACCTACAAGGATTTCCCTGTGACAATAAAATCGTCGTCGCGCCCATTTCTTCAAGTCCGACTTCCTACAGATGTCTTTCCAAACAAGGAGCCTGTTGCGCCGTATTTCCTCTATTTACTTGTCACTCCACATATTTCTACACTTCGATATTGGTTATCAATAGGGTCGTATAGATGCTTATAAAAAATTCCGACCGCACGTCATTTCAACTTCCATTGATAGAAAGAGCCACCAATGCCATCTCTCGCCGTAGCCTCAAAGCTTATAAGTGCTCACAGACCGACGAATGTGAAAAAAAGCCTCTAACCTACTGTAGCAGGGTAGTGTCACGGAGCCAAAAATGTGGCGGAAATGACGACATGCAGTTCCTTCCCCGTGCCGTCTGCTGCCCTATCTACGAAGGAAGCGGCAAGTGCTGACTTGCAACAGAAGCAGTTTCAAGAATACCGTATCCCTCGACATGCAACAGCCATATATATATACATATGAATGAATCATTTGCAGATCAGATTAAGCCTAAGCGGGAATACCAGATTTGACGAGGCCGAGTATTTATTGTTGAATTTTTCTTTGCCTTGCGATTACGAGGAATGATTGTTATAGGTGATTAAAATGAATAGAAATAAACTTATTTTTATGTTGTTTTTATAAGCATCAGATGTTGATCTGGCTGCAGCAGACAAGAACACCTTCCAAGTGAATTTCTTTTGTTCGTTTCCACAAGCTGGATTCGCTGACTTAAGAGCCGAACTAAAACAGACACCTTTCACCATTTTGTTGTCTTTAAATCTACCGTAACTTCTAAAATACCCATCCACGCCGAAGAAAAAAAAAGTTTTACGCTTTCAAGGATGTGAATCGGTGCGCATAAAAGAAGCAGATTGCCCCAAAGTCGTCACTAAAACTACAAAATATTCGTCCGAGACGGAACGAAAATTGTGATCAAAGGGATGCTACTGAAAAGCAATCTGGCCCACTTCCCTCAATGATTGCGCAAACTAGAAATCTCTCAAAAGACCATTTCCTCCTTTGAAAACCCCGGAGTGCCTACTTGGACGCCCACGCAGTCCAGTAGGTTCCTTGTCAAGTTCTTGCGGCCACCACAATAGTGATTGATTTGAACATCCCTTTTAGCCATAAATTTAGGACGTAGTAAAAAATGTGTCTTCCATATGAAAAAAAAAAAAAGAGTGACACCGTTTCTATTTTATGAAACGATCCTTCCATTAAAAAATGTGTGCATTTTCGTCTTCCAAGCCACGATGACATACCCCCTTTTTGCACCCTCGAGGACGCTAAAAAAAAAAAAAAAAATAACCCGAAAGCCTGAGTGTTTTCTACGACCGGATATAGTGCAGAACAAAGACCCCGTAGAAAAAGCCCTGACGTTCAAAACAACGATCATGCACGCAATACATACGCAAGATCGCATCTAAAACCGCCGTTACGCTTGCTCGTACATGATCCCAAAAAACGCGGTGTTTGCTGCAGACATTACGACAAAATTATCTGTAGCAGACACGACTGAAATATGTTCGAAGTATGTTTGTTTCATATATGTTTGGAACATGTCCGCGGACGTTTTTCGTGTTTTTTTCAATGACCTTCGTGACAGGACCATCCGTAAAACACTAGAGTGTTTTAGGGAACCGTTTTTGCACGCCCGATACGGCACGACGGTCCCTCCGGTACGAACTGCGCATGCGTGAGCCTTCTGCGGTTGCGCATGCGCAGTTCGTATCGGGGGGCCCATCGTACCATACGGAGGCGCAAAAACGGTTCCCTAAACCTCTCTAATGTCTGGAGAGTTATCTTTCGTTTGACGCATTAGCGGCGCGATTGCGACTCGACAGTTGGAAGTCCCTGTATTTGCAGTCGCAGTCAGAATGACGGCACGGGAGCACCCGAGAGCGGCGTTTTAAGACAAAAGAACGAGTAACGGCTAGACTCGCACGAACTAGACACAGACGCACGCATGCGCACTGGAGAACGGGGAAGCACGCAGCACTACCGGCTCCGGTCACGTGACACCGGGGTAAGGAGGATGCGTGGGCGTGGACGCCGCCTAAAGACGCAGACGAGTTGAGCGCCGACTCCATCTTTTCAGGCATACGTCCACACGCTCGCGCGCACACACACACGCATGCGCACCGTCGCTTAGAGACCTGAACGACTACAAACGACCTCGTTCGTCTAAGCACGACGTAAAACGGACCAAAAAAGAAACATGCACTCAGAGTAGAACGTAGTGTATGGACTGGTACAAATGTTAGAGCAAGAACAGTTGGGGAAAGCAAAACAAAAATGAAAGTCAAACGTTGAGCCACTTGGGAAGTGTCGTCCGCAGGACGACGCATACAAGCGTGTTTACATAGGGCGCACCAGGGCGACCTTAATGTTGCATCGGTCATGTCAACTTAACTTGAACCAAGGATGGGAAATAAAAACACGGAACAACACTCCCAAAAAAAAGTGCGTCAATGCGAGAAATATGGAAGATGTGCCAAGTGGGTGAATAGGAAAACACTTTGCTACACGTAACACGTAAATTCAAAGAAACAAACATAAACCAATAAAAGTTGCTAAACACAAATTATAAAACCCGTTTCCGAGAAAAAAAAATCTGTTTTGGCGTTTCCAACTCATGTCCACCGCAACAAACTCTGTGGCAGTGAAGCTCCTGCGTCAAGTTATATATATAAGTCATGAATAATGGAGGAGGTCTGTGAAGTTACAACTCGCTACATCATTTGCCAATTCCTGATTCAATCGGTATTCGGAAGAAGAAAAAAAAACGTTCGCTTACGAGAATAGAACACAATATATCGATAAAACATTTCCCCGAGAAATCCTCAAATCTGCAACTGTCACTGAGAGGATGAAACCGGCAGGGCGTCTCTTTTGGGACGCCCGGCCCCAAAGACGCACTCACTGCCTTCCACCGTGCTTTGGCTGCAAGTGCACACTCGAGGCTCACGAGACACCGTTTTCACGACATCAGTAGCTGCTGCTTAATCACCGCAACTTAAAAAAAAAGAAAAAAAAAAAGAAAAAAGATAGCGTTGAAGTTGATTGTTCAGACTGCATTAGAGCCGAAAGCGAGACGTGTCGCACCTTGCAAACTATACATGTTCAAAACAAACCACTCCGGCATTATGAGTGGGAATCGGACGTCCCGAATGTTCACTGGTCAACTCAGAGAAACGCGGGCGGACCGCTCCTGAAGCTTCGACTAAGTCCGTTTTTTTTTTTTACTTATTTTATTTGCAATTACTAAGTTGTAGATGCTTCGCATATCTGCTTGCCGTCGAAGTTAAATTTTATGTTGGTTTACAACAACGTGTCTAAGATCGCTACCGATTAAAATCCTTAAGTACCATTAACTTTTCCCTCCGATATGGGCCTCTTGTTTAGTTTGGCTGACATCTTTGCGCGAGATCACCCAGCGTGTGAATAACAAGCTACACAGCGCTTGTAGTTTCCTTTGTACGTTTTCCCTTCTATCTCCCTCCCGTAAACTCAAGAAATAAGAATAATAAAACAAAACACTGGCGAAAGCACGCTGAAGAAGTGGCGCACAACAACAAAAAGGAACACACACGCTCACGCATTTATCCACTAACACACACGAAGCACAAGAAACATTCCGAATACAAACTCTAAACACAAGGCTAAAAAGAAATACAGAAACGAGTGTCAAACAAACACACACACAGACGCAGACACAGTACAAAGACGTACTGACACCACTTTCTTTCGTCTCCACGCTGATATGGCTTAGAAACGATTCAAGCCCTGTCCCGAAAACAGCAAGAAAAAAAAAATGTCTGCTTCTACCCGTCAAAGTTTCTTCCTTTCCATCTAAAAAATGGGCGCGGTGACACAGCGTTGGCTCTGTGTGGTGGTCCCCCCGGCCATTTTTCCTGGGCTTGGATATTGTTTTGAAGTTCGGCTGTGTTGTGGTGGGTGGTTGCTTGCTCATTCGTCGTCGTCATCGTCGTCGATGTGACGACGTGTTCGATGACGGCATGGCAATGGTGCGGCCTTGCATAGTTGCGCTGATGTCGCCGGATTGACTCATACTGCTTGCTGATGATGCCTTTCTTGGTGTTGTTTTTCAGCCGTGGAGCACCGGTTTGGGATTAGTCGCCGCCATCGTCGCAACAGAACAGCTCCCCTGAACCCCAGAAAGAGAGGGGAAAAAAAGTAAAGCAGAAAAATTAAGAACCGGAACACAAAATTTTCTGAACGGAAAATACAGCTCTCTTATGTTTTGGAATCGAATGGGGATCTGTAGAAAACGCTGCCTCATAAAATTTCCCGGAAAAAAACAACATGTATGCTGAATTTTGCAGAAAAAGGGGGCACACAGCGCGACAATGCTAGTGAGAACAAACGATCGCTCTTACTTCCTCTTAAAACGTAACAGCAGCCGTAATATGTACCAATACAGTAAACAAATATCTGTGTCTTTTTCGAGAAGCGAAGTCTCTCATCGAAAAGGTGTAACGCACAATCTTCGTCACAGATACCACCTGACCCTGAAGTTTCACTTGTCTGTAACGTTATATCGCCTTCTTATTTGTTAGTAATCATTTTGCAATTAGAAAACAGATTTTCCGCTAAAACAACAGGACACTATGCCAGCGTCTGTCTTATAAAAACTCCCTACACGCTTCGCCGGTTCTGAGCTCGGCTTGACTCAACGCGGCGGGCAACACGTCCTCACTCAAAACCTCCGAAATCAACCGTCCGAATACTCTGATTTCCCGCCGCGACTAAAATATTTTTTTCCTGGATCTTTTCCCCTCTAATTTATGTCTCCTTCTCTACGAGTGCACGCCAACTCAATGTTGATGACGAAACGTGTGGACCCGTAAACGTTGCGGGCACTGCAAATATGCTGAGAGCTACCTCTGTTTCACCACGTGCGTAAGCGAAACCAGACCTACAAGCGGGAGCATGCTGCCCTGAACTACTCTTGCACTGCACAAGCGCGCATGTTCGTCAGGCCTGTTCAAAGTGCAGAGCTCGCTCTCGTAGCTTTTATTGCACAAGCTGATGGTGAATTCCGCTCGAAGACTCAGAGCGCTCCAAAATCGCCCCTTTTCGAGCGCGCATCTTCCGCTGGCAGATAAAGCTTAAGTTTGTCATCTTTCCCTCGCAAATTGGTGGCAGCGTAAGCTCCGTGGAGCGCTTCCGACCGCGCCGCAACCGCTCGACCGCTCCGTCAACTTCGGGAGACCTCCCCGGAAGTCGACAGCAGCAGCCACTGCCCATGCGCGTCATGGGCCGAGCATTTCCGGTCTGGTCCGGTAGCTCGGTGGCTCGGTTGTCGGATGTTCACGCGGGCGGTGGCGGGCAGTGCGTGCGGTGCGCGCATTACGTCTTGTACCCCGCATGGTTCACGGGGTGCAGAGACGGGACTGGAGCGTGGCAAATCGTAAGCGCTGACATCTGCGATATCGAGAGGAAGAACGAGAAAGAGCACGGCAGAAAATCTGAAGACGCAAGGTTAGCTGCGTTCATTTTGCCGCAACTGATTGGATTTGACCTTTGTACACTGCATGCCGCCGGTGTCTCCGTGTGCAATAAAGTAAGAACATGCTAGGCAGCGACCGCGCAAGTGATGGTTTGCTAGCTGTGTGTGTTTATTAACGTCTTACCAGCGATCTGAGCTTCCCCACTGACAATCAGTGCGTGCCCCGCCGTTCCGGGGCGGCGAACGCGGATCTAATACATCAAGACCGGTTATAACGAAGCCGGTTATAACGTAATAGCGGCTACAGCGAAGCGATCACTATTTCCCATTCCCTTTTGCACTTCGTTTACTCAAGTCGGTTATAACGAAATAGCGGATATAACGAAGTGATTTCCGATTCCCGTTGGCTTCGTTATAACCGGTCTCGATACTCTCTATTTGTGTCACGTATTGCGTGGTTCGGCGCTCGACCTATGTCGGGCGTCTCGAGCTCGGGCTTGTTCAAGCAGCAGCCATTTTGAACGATAGACCGTCTCCGGGGGGTCGCTCCAAAAATGCGACTCTATCTTCCGCTCGTCGATTCGGAGTGGGTGCCACGGAGCGGTTTTTCTTCTGCCCCGCAGATTTGTAAAATCTATTCGGATATAGCAGTGGAATTCTAGACTTGTACATAGTCCAACTACTCCATTCAAGTTACTGTAGTTTAACTACTTTTCTGAGTAGTTTAAAAAATTTCAATTACATTTGTATTTCGGTAATTAGTAGTGTACTTTAATTACTTTTTACGAGTAATTTCTCCTCGAATTACAAATTACTTGTGAAATTTAGTGGTAGGTTTGCTGGTCAACAAACATTCCTGAACAAACTAGATAAGATGTAGGAAGATCAGCTGATATTTGCAAAGAGGAGAGCATGTGGCGCAGGCAAGGAGTGTGTCTGTGTGTGTGTGCGGGGGGGGGGGGTGGTTCGAAAGGTGCGAAACCCTAAACAAATTTTACGAGCCTCTCATAGCAACAATCCTGCTCCGAGGCGCAGGAAACACACTCGTCTCAGGTGAGGCTTAGTAAATACGGGATTAGCGCCGAAGTCTGGCACTTCTTTGTCTCCCGAAGCTAAAGGAGACTAGACGCACTTTAAGAAAGGGCTTGTCCATGCTTCTCCCCGACGTAGGAACTCTCGCCCACTACACAAGGTGTACACCCTGTACTGCAGCCCCACTCAAAGGAGTCAACAAAATGCAGCACCCGCTCTGAAGCCCATCTGGTGCCCCCGTAGTTTGTGCTGTACTTGAAGGATCACGTGCTAAAGGGCAACGCAAAGCTGATGTCTTTGTGTTCCTTTCTCCCAAAACTACATATGCAGGCCTTCCAAGATTCGAAAATCGTTTGAAAATCTTAAAAATTCCCCCAACATTAAAAAAAGCACAATTGGGAAGTTTATTTAGTACATGGCACTTAAAGTACTATTTCAAGTAGGTTAGAAAACTTGTAATTTACTTGAAGTGCGTTCTCTGAACATGTACTTGTACCTTTTGTAAAGTATTTTTTTCCTGAAAATGTTTAAAGAAAGTAAAAATTCCAGTCCTCAAAGTACATTCCCCACATTCGGAAACAAAAATTGGCGTATCGTCTTTCGAGATGTCATGTGGTAATTTCTCTGAGTGAAGTAATGGCGGCTATAAGACCGATACAAATAAGGGCCTTATAAATGTACTGTGTTAAATAGTTCGTCAGCGAGAGTAAAACAACTACTCTGTGGCGACTTCACTTTATCGAATATTTGCCACCACTTCCGAAAAAAACTGATACTCCATCGATTGCCCCGGGAGCAATGCATATTAGTTCAAATAAAGTAAAAAAATGTTATGAAAGGGAATTATGTAAGATTGTGTTAAAAAGTATTTGTACTTAACTTTAAAAGTACGTTGTATTTATAGTACTTTACTCGACGTAGGTTGCACCCTGTTTACTTACTATACCTGAAGTACATAACCTCTAATTGACTTTGTACTTTACTTGCTGTACTTTTTAGATGTACTTAACGCAACACTGTAAACAAGCAAACACTGTCTGCTAAATCAAGCTCGGGCAGTCCTAAACCTCAAAGTAGAAATGATACATCTGCAACACATCGTTTACCAAGAAACAAAAACTACAAAACAATTAATCACACACAAGCAGAACCGGCTATTAAAGCATTTATATAAAAACACAAGCCGCATTATATTTGGCTGGCAGAATTTTGCTAACGGATCAAAACATTTATGTACTTTCTTGTTACTATCAAAAATATAAAGGTAACTTCAAAAGTAATCGCTACTTTGTTATGGTAGTCAGTAATTTACTCAATTACTTTCCCTTTCCATAACTTCTACTCTACTCAAATTGCTTTATAGGCCAATACTCAGTAACTTGACTTATATACTTTTTTTTAGTAACTTGTACATGTCTGGAATTCTCCATAAGTCATTCAATAAACTCAAAGGCACGGTGAAAGAAAGGTGTCGGAACAAGGTAAGAAAAAGGGCCGAAATTCCACTCGGGCTTCGCCTATCGCCCGACCGGGTCACTGCCGGGGCGCGGTCGCGCGCCTCGCGGCGTTGAGAACGCGCGCGTGAATAAGGACGGTTCCTCGAGCCCCTGTCACGCCACGCCATCTCACGGCGTGTGTCAGAAATAGAAGCAAACCTTCGACACACTTGCTTCATGACAAAGTGGCGTCGTTCAAACACAGCTTTTTCTTCTTCCCTCATGGTCTATACCTTTTTCCAGCACTCATCGCCCCGGCAAAATACACTGAGTCAATAGAGTAAGGAGGCATGCAAGGCGTCTGATATTCTGCAGAAGTACCGCGCATGCTCAGAACCTGTCCCATAGCCCAACAAATAATAGTGCGCAGACCCGTGCTTTCTCGCGAATCGTGGGCAAACATCGGCTTGTATGTAGAGAATGTGTTAGTCTATAGACTACCTGAGCTGAAGGAGAAGAGCGAGAAGTCGAGCGGGAAGGAGCCTCTGCGCTGGGTGGTGCTGAACACGCTCCCGGCGGCCGAAGAGCACGTCGACTGTAGCCCCGTCGACTCGAGCGAGCACGCTTGCCGCTGGAGCTTGAAGCGACCGGCCACGGACACCGGCTGCGGAGGGATCACCGACGAGCCCGGGGACCAGTCCGAGCCTCCGCCGAGGGCTGCACCGCGGGATCGCCACAGACCGCTGAGGAGCTCGAGACCGCCGCCGGAGCCCCGCCGAGGAAGGTTCTGCCCAGAAAAAAAAAAAAACGCAATGGGAATTAGGTGTTCTCGGTGCCCCTTAAGAATAGACGTCCTGCAGGTTTCTGGCACATTGCGAGTGAAGAGCACATTGAGACATCCGCCAGGCTACCATGCTTTAAGCTGGGATACGGGCTGTTCGCTGCAAGGTATTTCGTAGCAGGTCAGATGGCAGCAGGGCAGTTCGTCACATAGGGCATTTCGTAATAGGGAAATTAGTCGCAGTGTTTGTCTCTCGAAGAACTGCCCTACAGCCTTTCAACCTCTACGCCTTTTCTGCAATTGCAAAGTACACAAACGAAGAACATAAAAAAAAGGAATTGCGCCTATAGGAGAAATAAGCGTACACGTAGCATTTGAGTCGTAGTACGATCGAACACTGAAAACCAACTTTTTCACTGCCATCTGCAATCCATACCGGACACGTGGCATTGCAGTGAGGAGGAACTTATCAAGGGTATACAGCATGTGATCAAGTTTTCTAACCTTGAGAAAGCACCCCAAACAAACCCTGACAACCTCTCCCCTCTCCCCCGCACACACACACAAATACAAACCGCCTAATAGAAATCAAGAAATATGATAAAGATAAGTAATTTCTGCCCAACATCAACTCTACCTGGGAAGGTTTGTACAAAAAAAAAAAAAAACCAACAAAAAACGCCTAAAAAGACTAGCAGAAAAAAAGCTAAAAGTTATAATACGTCCTGTATCGTGCAAAATATCTTGTTTCAGTCTCTTCCGGTGCTCTTTACAAACTCCAAAATAAATTATAATAAATAATGTAGCGATATTATCCAATTTCGTACCCAAAAGCGTACCCCCTCTCCATCAATAAATATATATTTTCCTGACGGAGTCCAACATGGGCAACCGGCTTCCTCACCTGCAGGGCGTGAAGGGCACCGTACGGCCCGATGAGACAGCTGAGGATCTCCCCTGTCGACCCTCGCCGCCGCGTGGGATCCAGCGGGTCCACGGACACGCCGGTCCTCCCAGGGGGCTTCTCGGCGCACACCATGAGCGGCAGTGGGACGTCGGCCGGCAGTGAGCCCCGACGCCTCCGCAGGGCGCCCGGTGACGTGGCCGTGCCGGAGGAGGACGTGGACGCGACGAACGGGAGGAACAAATCCCGCGTCTCGTCCTCGTCCCTCGAGCTGTCGCTGATCCTCCGCGGCGGCACGCAGCTGCCTCGGCGCGTGCTGCACGCGGTGGAGGTAGCGCACGTGCTCGAGCCGTCCTCCGACTCCGAGGACGGGGCCACGGGCTCCAGGAACGCGATGCTGTGACGCCGCATCAAGGTCCGGGGCATCGGACGTCGGCCGAACGCAGCGGCCGCGGTGCGGGCCAGCTTGGCCAGTTCGGTGTTCCCCAGCTCTGGTGCGTGGAAGGAAGGGTAAGGCGTTTGAGGATTGTCCAGGAAGAAATGTGACGGATTCGAGTATATCTGGTTGAGCTCCGTACCAGCCTATGCTGGCAGCGCCGTGAAGGATCTGAGCGCAAGGTTAAAAGTGACTTACTGGTTGTTTTCAACGTGGACTCTAGAGTGGAAATTGTAAAAAGATGCAGATGAATCACACGTACTGATCGACTCGGTAAATGTTACGAAGCCGCCAAAAGACGAAACCTTTGGCGGCGCCGGAATTCTAACTCCGGCTAAATTTCGACATCTGCCGGGTTCTATATGGAAGGACAATGAGCCCGGTGCGCGTTCGTGTAGTCACCACAACTGTGACAGACAGTAGTAGCCTCGAACTTGCACGTGCAGCCAAAGCACAACGGAAAGCAGCGACTGCAGTGAGAGAGCCAAGGCTCTACTACACGATCCCGAAAAAACACCCACCCGAGGTGGAGACAATAAAGGGGAAACATTAGGTGGGCGATCTTTCTGGGGTGGGCGTTTGTTCGGGATTTTGCGTTAAGCACATTTTCGTGAGTTCCATTTAATCCCCCAAGCTGACAGTGCAATTAAAGGTTAAGAGTGACTCCGCGTGACTCTCGAGTTGGCAGGGTAGAGACGGGGTAGAATAGAGTTTAAATGCCATGAGGCGATGGCCGGCAGCGATAACACACCGCGGTTTGTGCAATAATTGAGTTTGCGCTGGAAGTTAAAAGGACCGTGAGCTAAAGTTTTACATCTACCAGCTTTAATATGGAAAGGCAATGTACCCGGTGCCCGTCCGTGTTGTCGCTACTCTAGTCATTGACGGGATAACAATGACAGGGATGTCCTTCAGTTGTTCCGGTTCCGGCGCGAGCTTGCTACCTTCAATAAGGAACTTTCGTGAGCTTCAAGCATGCATGCGCATCCAAAGCACAACGGAAGGCAACGCGCGCGTACTGCAGGCCGAGCGTCCCAAAGAAACACCGTTCTTATCCTGTCAGTAACTATATATATGCTGATCTTTAGAAGATGTAATTTTAAGCTCCCTTTCTTAAATTGCCCATATATTATGCAAATATAAGGCACAATCGCCAGACCGAAAGATCTCACGCAGTGAAAACCTCTTTGCAGCAATTTTTGACAAATGCTGTGAAACTCACCCGGAAGATGTTGTTCTGTGGGTACAGACGATCTTCTGCGAAGGGCTCCGATGAGAGACGACGGCGGGGGTGGAGGACCCGACAGCTCCTCGTCTCTAGAAGGGTTCTGGTCTCCCCAGAAGGAGACCTGACGCTCCCCGCCACCCAGCGTGGTCGGGGCTGAACTCCTTCGGCTGTTGAACCTCGCGCAGTTTCTCCACAGGGCTTCGGGAGGATGGTCGAACTCAAGCTGCTGGGCTTCTCTCTCGCTCGAAAGGCTCACACGATGAGACCACGGAGGCAAAGGCGGTCCGCTGTCGACGTTCGTGGCACCGGACTTTGGCGTTGAGCAACCGGAGGATGGGGGAGATGCGCAAGGGTCTGCGCAGATTAGCGGAAGATATGAGTCGTGCGAATGAGTGTGAATAACAAACACATTGTACGATGAATACAGAGGCCCGATGAAGAGACTTAAAACTAGTTCACACACTTGTGTCGGTTGCGTTCAAGGCAGCCAAAATGATAACAACGACCGGGACACCTGGACAGCTGTGTGTCATGGATACTTCACGACGAAGCTGCTCATTGCATTGCTTGTTACGTTCGGTACGGGAAACAGCTGTCCTGCTGGCTTCGACCGTGTTGCCGTCTCGGCCACTCTGGACGCAACTCACACAACTGTCAAAGCCAGGCTTGAGTCGGAGATGCTCGCACTTACGCCCTAAAGTAGGGACTAATGATTTTATTTATAATTGTTTTGTAACAATTTCACAATAAGCGATGTCACGCACAACTATGTCGTGTTTTTACTGCGGACACTAAAAAAACTTAGTAGAAATGACAAAAGAATACAGGTCCTCTGAGACGAGCCTGTTTTATTTTGTGTGCGTATTGCTGTCGTTTTTTATCTAAGACAAGAACACTTCAGTGTTATCAAGATATGAATAACATGGCCTGTTATGATATGTTTTTATTATATATGGTTCCGCCTACGCTTCTAGAAATCTGATGGTTCGTACATAAAATGTGACGCTCTAATACTAATGAATCCAGTAAAATGAACCAACTTCTATTAGTTCATAAATACTAGATTTCTAAAGTCAACGCGCGCGGGAACTGTCTATTTTTATATGAAGAAAAAGAACTATATATTTTATTTATATTTTTATATGAAGAACAAGAACTCTCACCTTGTGGCCTGGCAGGTAACTGAGTGTTTTGTTGCAGGCAACCTTGATTGTTCTGCATTTTCGAAGATATATCCTGCGAGAAACTCCTTCCGGCATCATTTCTCGAACCCAGTCCTAAGGAAAGAGCATCGTGCTGCAATGGCTGGGCATTGGTTCCTTGGTTAGAAGCCGTCACCATCGTTGATGGTGACGTCAATAAAGATGCCATCGTAGCCGATGACGGCGGTGTACAACGACCGTCTTTACATTCTAGAGAGTCCGCTGGGCCGTCATCACTGTCGTGACTGTTACCACCTGCTGGTTTACTCGAAGGCCTCGAAGTATCACCTTCTTTGGCCGAATCGCCATTGCCTTTTGAGCCGGTTGGTTGAACGAAGTCCTTTTCATCTTCCTGTTGCCGCTTGTTTTCAACCTCGCCTCCCGGAACCTCTTCGTACGGTTCAACCTCAGTCGAAGTAAACGCGAACACAGACTCCGACCTTCGTGGAAAGTGTCTTCTCGACGCAGCGGCCACGAACGGCTCCGACGTCCTCCGGTATGGTGGATACGAGACCGGCTGGTGTACCAGGCGGCGTTCACTTTCCCTGGAGCTCCTCTGCAGCAGCGAGGTAACAGGAGCTCCCTCTGCTGTGCTGGAGAGTGACAGAAGACTAGTCGTGGGCTGCAGGTCTTCAGCCGAGACCCGCGGTGACCTTGGACCAGCCGGCACCTCTGAAGTCTGGTCCGGCTGCGGTGGCAAGGCAAGAGAGCTGAGGGGCAGGGATTGTCTGCGTCTTCGGATGACCGTCCTTGACGGCAGCTTAGGCAGGCTGAGCGGCATACTGTGGCGGCGTCCCCAAGCGCTCGACCCTAACGATTCTTCCATCCAGGAGTAAGCAGCGGCACCGCCTCTTCCCCTCGTGAGGAGTGGAGGCAGCGTCTCTTCCTCGTCTTCGAACTCGAGGTCTCCTTCTTCCTCCTCGGACGCGAGAGGAGCGTTGAGGTCCGTCTCGAAGGATGAAGCGGCTATAGCTTCAATGGCCACTTTCTTCTCCCACTGAACATGGTTCAGACGCAGGTTGTTGAGGAGCTCACGGGACAGCTCGGTGCCCAGAAACTGGTCCCAGATCTCGAACAGCGGGCTCACAACGAACTTGAAAAAGTCTGCAGGAAGAACGCAACTTTGTTTATAGGGGTGCCGCCCGTAAGTACGGTCTCTAACAATAGTATAGACCCATTCGACGAGGAAGTTTCTGACGGCTCAGCAGGACTCACTTTGGTCAGGCCCACGGAGTGCAAGGGTAAGGAAATAAATGACCATTTGTTTCATTCTTTCTTTAAAAATGAAGTGCCTCTTCTTAACGTGTACTTAGCACCACCGCATAAACAACCTCGGCGAATGGGTCTTTCATACTGTGGAAAACTCTGCATCCATTGTGCTTACATAGTTCATCACCGCGTAGTGAGTTTTTTTGTTAATAGACTTAATGGAGTTTTTCGTCAAGAATCGTGAGATGTGCCGTCTTGCATAATAAACATTATGCTCAGTTTGCTGTTGATAAGATCGAGCTGTGACACAGGCCATTTTCGTTATTACTTTCAGAGGAAAGGTTCCGAGTGAAGGCTTTTCATTATCCTGCGGTTTCACCCTCAGCTCTGGAGAGGCTCTGCTGTGATAGCGGACTAAGCACCTCTGATTATAATATTATGGACTGAAAGAGCGCGTGTCTACTGCCAAGGCTGTTCAACCTGACCTACGTACAGGGTGCCACAAAAGAAAATTTACACGGTCTGTTTTACCGCAAAAATAAACTAGGCATCGCCGAACGCTCATTCTCCGCTCAAAGGTAGAGCTAGAGGTCACAACCAGATGCCAAAGTTTCAGCCCGATCCGATTACTTAATCAAAAGTTATAACTGATTTCTGAAAATTTCAATGGGAAAATGGAGTCCATTTTTGCCCGTTTTCGGTTTCTGGTGCCATAGAGCCCCATATGTTCGAAAACTCCGTCGACCACCATTTTCCCATTGAAATTTTCAGAAAATCATTTATAACTTTTGATTTAGTTATCGGATCGGGCTGAAACTTTGGCATCTGGTTGTGACCTCTAGCTCTACCTTTGGGCGGAGAATGAGCGTTCGGCGATGCCTAGTTTATTTTTGCGGTAAAAAATACCGTGTAAATTTTCTTTTGTGACACCCTGTATATATAGTACTCCTAAATAGTTGTGGAAAATAGCTTACAGATAAATGAACGAATACTGAAATTATTTAATTCAGGGGGCACTGTATTAACGCAAGCAAGATGAGTAAGAATAAGATGAACAGCTGCTGTGTTTCATTGGCGTACCTATGCTCCAGGTCAGCTTGACTTGGCATACAGCATAAGTTAGGGCCCCTGTGAGCCAACCAAAGCAACGGAGCAAAGCATGTGAGAATTCTCCACTTTAGAATGGCGCTCGGGCGGTTTGTTATCACAAGCCTCGCTTCTGCGCTGTGATTGGCTAACCTGAGTTGTCGCTTTATCTGTTCGCCAAGCAATGCTGAAACGGAGTGTTTCGGGTTTTGGAGATCTTGTGTGGACAACAACCGGAACTAACTTTTACAAATCAAGAAGCGATGAAGCGTATAAGAACTGCCGATGTAGCAAAAGGCCAGATCGAGCGTGCCATCTCGTGTTATTTGCGCTCTTTCTACGCATAGGCTTAAAGATGACAGCACAACATTATAGTGGTTCAAGTGAAGGGAATGCCACAGAAACTTACGAATTCAGTATTTCTTTATTTTTTCAATGATTTTAGAGTTAGTTCTCCTTAGCTAGTAGCGGTACTTCAAACGAGAACTATAATGACATGATTAAGATGTTGTTCATAAACATACCTGCTTGTATCTTGGCAACAGTCGTCCTTTCTCTATCACAGATTGGTGTGACTGGGATGTTCAACCGTTTTTCGAAGTCACCTAACACATACAAAAAAAAGTATGTAACAACTAATAGGAGTTTTCATTTCACACATTTTGACACCTTAATTCTCAAGACGATACACAAGACGCGAACGCCTCCATATCTAAACTCAACGTTCAGAGATTATATCAAGCAGGACATATCTTTCCCCTTGCTTTTCTTGGATCCAACAAAACATGGTGTGGAGGTGGCATGCGGAATAAGGAAGACCGCTGTTTTTCATAAGAATTACATTCAACATGCTTTCTAAATGGCTCTAGTTTTACCTGCTCTTTCATGCATTCCTTACTAACAGAAAAGCTGACAGAAAAGGTATAATTCCTATACCTTGCCGATTCTCGTTTTTCCGAGTGTGACTGCCGTATCTTCGTATGCTAACTGCAGTTCATTAGTGTGAGAAGTAGGACGAACCTAGCTCCAATAGAGTGACTAAGCAATTCGATTAATTAGATTAACCTCACTGTGATTCAACAACTTTGAGAAATGGCATTCACTACTGTGACACAGATACTGTGAGAAATCGGATGCAGCCTGCTGTATGCAGTGACCTTGAAAGACGGGATTATTTTACTGCAGTAAAGTGATTTCTAGAAAGGAGTGCACAGTGATGCCACACAGTGACTCCTCCGGCAGACGTACCTTGCCTGTAGAACTCCTTGCAAACCTGGAGACTCCACCGGTGGCTGATATCCCAAGGACGGCAGGGGTTTCCCAAGTCAGCACACTTTAAAGCAATCTGTAATATGAAAAATGTTTGTAGCCCTTCAGCCTGCTGCCTAAACAAGAATATGCTTGCTGAAGAGCAAACGTGGTGGCTCGAACACAAGCACGCACCTGGAGAATGAAATGACGGTATTCCTTGTCGGCCATGTCGAGCGCATTGTTCTCCATGTATCGCTGTCGGAAGGAAAGACAAAAACCAACCAAGAATTCAGAACTCTTTATTTATGCCGTCCATAGGACAGGAACGCAAAAAATGTCAAATAAAAATGATTCATTTTCTAGAGAGACGTCTCACTACCCACGTAAAACAATAAAAATATTGGACTTCATAACTAAAATGTTCTTATTGATTGGTATAAAAAGATCCGAGTGCAGCGCTGATTCTTGTGTATTAGACCTTTTTTTGAAAAGTGCGTGCCATTTCCCGTTCCCCATTGCTTGGGCGCGTGCTCTGAGCATGTATTGGACACGGTGTCTGCGCCAGCGTTGGGCGTGAACTCGGCTCAATTTATATCGAAAACAAATGCTGCGTGCAGCCTCTGAGACCATAAAGTGTACCAATACATACCCTGTACTGAGAAGCGACAAAAACGTTTAAAGGCGCACGTGTTGCGACGTTAAGTTAGCGGTTGGCAGCCTAGTAGTTTTGTTCCGATTGGGAATTATGCGCAGCCCGTTCCCGCTCTTGGATATGTTTGGTACCTTGGGTCTCAACAGATTCATGTCACAGCAATATACATCTCAATCAAATCAATTCACATCAACCTAGTACATCTCAAAAGAACCTTTTCGAAGCAATGTGAATATCTTGTTAGATATGGTTGTCCTACTTCACACTCTCTTCGTCTTTAGTCAGTTTTCTTTTTAGCTTGCTATTTCCTTTCAAGAATCACGATTTCCTCTAACTACTGTGTTACTTTTTTTTTGTTTGTAGACAATTGTGAACCAAGTTGTTCCAGAAGCAGCGTGTTTGAGTTTAATTCCACTAAATAAAACAATGATGATAATGTAATTAAATGCAAAGGTGCAAGCGAGCTGGACAAGAATGACGAAAATAATACCTGAAGAACGGGAACAAGAGGGACAAAAAACAAACACAAATCTCCATACACAGCTATTTGACTAATGCGCTACAAAAGAATCCCGTACTCCTGGGATTATTTTTATTATTATCGTCCAGCTCGCTTGCACCTATACATTTAATTGCATTATTAGCATTACCATCAAAATGCAAGCCGTTCACCCTTATTGGTGTTTGACTGGTTGGAGCTGATAAAACCCGCTTGCTCTACTGACGTCTAACTCCTGCTTAGCTCAGTTGTTAGAGCGCTCCACTGGCAATAGAGAGGTCCCTGGTTCGATACCAGGTCCAGGCGTGTTTTTTTCGGTCGCGCACCAGTCACCTAGCTGTCTTTGGAAACTTGCGTTTGTCCTTCGTCCTTCTTGTTCCACTTCTCCAGGGATTATTTTCCTCGAATAAGACAAAAAAGGTAGTAGACGAGTGCAGTCCTCAGCATACATTTATCAGACTCGGCGGACATTGGATGAGAGGATACTCGTTATGGTAAGTTGGTTAACTGACTAAAATCTGTGAATGAACTTTTTAATTATTGGCTTTAAAAGTCATGTTGCAATGGCAGTATTGAAGGCAATTACTATTGGGAGGCCAGGTTTGCAAGAATGTAATAGTTTCTTAGGTAATAGTTGATAAATATTCACGTTTGTTTAGCCAGGTTGAAGAAATGCGCTCAAAAAGAGCGCCGCAAGCCCTGTCCACTGACGCTTGAAAAAGTCGCTCGTGTCGTCGGCGCACCCACCAAGGAGACACTGCCGAGATAGTGATGACATGATTGAAATGACTACGTCATTGTTCTAAGAGTCGTTGTGCGCAGGGCTTGCGGCACCATTTTTAAATCGAACTAAGAATGTAAAAATCGATCAATTAAATTTTAAAATAAACTTAATTTTTTGCAAATTTTCTGAATTGGTGTGGCATATGATAGTAATTGCGGTCATTGCTGCAATTGGAACATAAACTTTAAAACCAATATTTAAAAAATAATTAAACTTTTTTGTTAATTAGCTAATTTATCATTACCATTGTTCTCCCATCTAATGTTCGCCGAGACAAATGAATTTACGATGAAGACGGCCACTCGCCTCTCATCCCTTTTTTCTAAAAAATAGATTCCATTTAATATTAAACACCCTGTATAGGGTGCTTGATTATAGGGCGTTGACAAACAAAAGCGAAAGAACGAAACTCAGGCTGAGTGAAACAGGTCTGCCATAGTATTGCTGGACAGTGATGCAGTATTTGCAAGAAAAATACCTTCAGCCTGAGGTTTCTTAACCTCACGTGTTCCAACAGCAGCATGACAAGAACCATATCGCTACAGTAGGCCAAAACCGAGAAGGATACTTCACCTCAATCAGCATGTTAGTGCGGGGAAGTATACCTTCATCTCGAATGCCCACAGTTATAAGGATACTTTACCTCAATCTTACTCAATATGCAGTGAAGTATCCTTTTGTTTCGCGGGCTACTTCGGCACACAAATGTAGGTAACGCGTTACTAGTAACGAATAACTTCTACATATTCAATTTTTTTTGGGTAACGGGTAACCTATTTAGTTACTTATAAATAAAAGTAACGAGTAACGGTATTTCGTTACTTTTGAGGAGCACCGCGCAGAGCACCGCAAAAACAGCCCCGCTTTATTTCTAACCTGAGTAGGCGTCTATTGCGTCAAAGGCCGATGGGCACTGCGAAGGACAACTAGACAGTATGACAGTATGCCAACGTTTATCGCTGAAAACGTCAGTCGAACTCTACAGCTGGGAAAGTACTTCACGCAGCGAACACATTACTGTTCGTTAGTTGAATCTTCTAGAATCGTGTACAGATTGAATGTAAACTCAAAGGCAGCCAGCGCGGGAAGGCAGAAAACCCATTGCCAACTTCGAGCTTTAGAATTAGAGAGAAGAAAAAAAAAGGGGGGGGGGGAAAATCCCAGATTCACCAGCTCTTTTTGAAGCACAGCACTGCCGTTCCTTCGAGCGCGTCAATAGAACGACTCATCAGTGTTGCCGGAGCTGTATTAGCAAGGAAGCGGGGAATTATAACTGATAAAAACTTCGAGAGGCAGCTACTGCTTAAGTTCAACGACTACTGGAAAGGAAACAATAAACCATGAAATAAAAGCAGTTGTGTGTCTGATCATCAAAGTAACAAGAAGCACAACTCCTTACTTTTTAGGTAAAGTAACGTGTTCTCTTTGAGAGTCGATAACGAGTAGCGTACTTAAGTAGTTACTGTTTGAGTGCGTAATGAGTAACGGTGTTTAGTTAATTTTTTGGGTTACGTGCGTATGTCTGCTTCAACAGCATATTGTACTCCGAAGAGTCCCAATCTTGTAAACTACAAAAACGTTTGGTGCCTCAGACCAACCTTGAACCTTGACAGGAACTCCTGCTGCCGAGTGATGTCTGTTGCCAGGATGAGGCTTCGTATATGATACTCCATTTCATCCCTGAAATGCAGAAAAGTGAACACAGTTTTGATCTGGACGTCGTTCATCTCGTATGAACGTGAAACAAATGTTAACAAAAATGAACTCTCGTTTAAGACGGAGCAAGACACATCGTGATTACCGGATAAAACGTGATGAATTCAAGGTTTGCTGTCTTAGCAATAAGAAAATGGTGGTTCGTGTTCGTTCTCTGTGTTTTCAATCATTTTCAAATGTAAGTAACCATAGTGGCGACGCACTCGCGCTAATTATAAGCATATTTAATAAAATTTAAGCGACGTGTTTTAAAATTATATGTTGTATTTGAATTGTTGTCTTGAGGTACTTAATAAGATGCATAAATAAAGTGTCATTACAAATGTCACTACAGTTGATAGGAGACGTCAGTTAAACATTTTCAATCACATTTTGGAGCTGAGCAGCATTTCAATGAGCGAACTGACGCTCCCACAATTTGTTGATTTTAATGAGAATGAGCAAGCCTAGTGATTTTAGAAAGACTTTACTTTTGAAGAAAGAAAAAGAAAACCTCTCGGATAATTGCATTTTCTTTTTGATGTTATATAAACGATCGACAGTGCGATAAAATAAAAATATCAAAACACAAGCGTAAGTAACACTTGCTATTCTTTTTTTCATTATCTTCTTTCCTCCTTCGCTACCTTAATAGGCTGGAAATGGAAAACACTAAAATTATTTTCCTTAAAGGAAACCCCAGACTGCGCGATGGGCTTCACGAGTAACTTGTTACTGAATAGTGAGCTCTTACCTTTAACCAGAACACAGATAATGCATATTTAGTTTTTGTCTATAGTGTGTTGCAGGTCGAAAAAAGGTAGGGCAATCGCCTCCTACAAAGCCCTTCACTCTTCACCTTATCAAAGCGAACGCTGGAGTGGTGGCGAGTGGAGAGGAGGAAACCACCAATTATGGCGAGCACAAGGCTTTGTGAGAAGGGGCTTTTCCTGCCTTTCTTAACCTGCAACCGACGATACTTCCAAAATTAAAAAGGATCAAACCAAGAAGGCTACTCACCAAACAGACCTGTCCAGGTGATCGAATATCCCGGACTGCCGCAGGCAAGATATGGCCGAGCGCCAATGGTGGTTCTCCAACACGGAGAAATTCTGCAAGTGTGCGAAAAAACAACCGCCTATCGTATCAAACAGGTTCCCTACCTGAAACCGTTTTGTGCAATATCTAGGATCATAAAATACACGAATACATAACGTCTACTGAGAAGCGACAAAAACGTTTAAAGGCGCACGTGCTACCTGTTAAGTTAGCGGTTAATTTGTTTTATGCGTGAATTAAAGGTAACCCGTTCTATTATCTCGAATGTGCTCCGTATTTTGGGTCTCAACTGATTCGTTTCGCAGCAATGTTCATCTCAATCAAATCATTTAACATCAACCTAGAACATCTCATTAGAACCTTTTCACAGCAATGTACATCTCAATCAAATCATTTCAGAGTAATGTACATCTCCATCAAATCATTTCACATCAACCTGGTGCATATCAATAGAACATTTTGACGTATACCTACATCTCAATATAATCATTTCAAATCAACCGACATCTGGATAGAAGTATTTCGCATGAATCCTCATCTCGATGCAAACATTTCACATTAATATCATATCAATAGAATATTTCGCATCAACCTCATCTCAATAGAATCATTTCAAGAGATTCCCATCAATCTATGCATCTCAATATAATAAATTATAATTACTATCTACTCATTGTCTGTCATCATGACAGTCAACGCAGGACGATAGCAGTGATATTTTTGTGGGACTCACCTTGTACAAGGCTGCCAGGTGGTTGGAAGTAGCGATAAGGAATGGTTGGTTCACCCCCGGGTGATCGAGGTCGTGGGTGACGGCGGCGATAAGAGCCGCCATGGCTTCTACCGGGGTCATGTGCTCTCGGATCTGAAAGGGATATCACCCATTAACGCGACCACCAACACAACACGCAAAGGGTTCGATTCCGTTCGGTTTGGCTCCTTTCGGTTTAATTCCGTTCTGCTCGGTTCAGTTGTGTTCTGTTCGGCTCAGTTTTGTTGGTTCAATTGGGTTCAGTTCAATTCGCTTCCGTTCAGTTTGTTTTGGATTTCGTTCGGTTTGGTTCCGTTGGGTTCGAATCGATCGCGTTAGGTTCGATTCTCTTTGGTTCAGTTCCGACAGCAAAACAGTCGGTCCGCGTGTTTTTTTTTTTCTTTTCAATAACATAATGTCTGGTCATTTTATGTAGTTTGTTCTACTCGCACGGACTGTTCCAAGACTTACTGTACTAACAAATCAGTCTCTTGCCGACCGTATCATAGAATTTTAGCACATATCTGCGGACAGCTTTATTTGGCAAAAAGAGTATAATTTCAAGCGCAGGAATCCTGTAGACCACATAAGTACGCGAATCAAACACATTTCGACGCAAGATCCCGTTTCTTTTTTTTTTTCTTCCGCGTTCCACAATTTGGTCCCCCGTGTAATGCCTAGTAAAAAAAAAAAACAAAAAAAAAAACACATACGCGAGTGCGACATTTAATTAACGGAGTGCGCGCTATCTTCCAGAGGCTTCCCAATTCCGAAGACCGCGCGTTCTCGAAGAGACGCGTCGCAGAGACGCCATATAATGCAAGGCGCAGCGCGGCGACTACAACCTTTCCTAATTAAAATCCCGTCAGCTGCCGCGAGGAGGACGAGACCCGGCTCTACCAGAGACAAAAGAAGCCCGACCGACAAAAAGGTTCATTAAAAGCTCGTTCCGCCCGGCTTCGCCACGAAACGGCGACAGCACCAGAATCTCTGCGGTCGAGGTGGGCTGAGAGCACCTAAAAGACAAGGCCGCAGCGTGACGTCATAGACGTGAGATACGGCAAAACGCGCTGGCGTGTATCCACTAGCGATGACGTATTGGGGGGGGGGGGGGGGGGGGTGCCGGCCAATTGTCTTTTAGGTGGTACTGAGTGAGCGCGGCGAGCTTACTTACCTTGCTCTCTAACAGGAAACAGTGCATGGCCTGCGTGACGTCAGCAGCGTGCACGGAGTTGTGATAAGGGTTGTTGCTATGGTAACCGGCCGCTATGAGATCTGCGTGTGGAAACGGAGAAAAAATATCGAGAAACCTAATGAAAGAGCAGGGCTGGAGAGGTGGAAGATGGAACGAAGGATCGATCGGAGCGAAATGGGGAGGGAATCGGGAGAGGGGGTTAAGGGATATAGGACGAAGAGCGAAGAAGGACGTTCTGGCGAAAGAAAAGTGGATCATGGACGGGGTGAAAGAAAAAAAGACTTGCCTACAGAAAAAAAAAAAGGAAAAAAATCAAGAAGAGAAACGCAGGAGGGAAAAGGAAAGAAAGAAAGAAAGGAAATAAAAACAAAGAGAGTTAAGAATGGTACAAGAGATTTTTCTAGGGAAACGGGTTCCGATGGACAGATCCTCAGTAGAAGAAAATACGAGATTACGGAATGCAAAATAGGGAGGGAAGATGCAAGAGGAGACAGGTATTACGGAGATAAAGGAGAAGATAAGAGAAGGGGGAGATAGGGAACGTGTTACGGGATTAGGAGAGGAGAAAGAAGGGAATATAGGGACTTCAAAAAGGAGTGGGAAACAAAACGAAAGTTCAAACAGTGAAGATCGAAAACTATACAGTACTCAAAAATAAAGAAACAGAAAGAAAGAAATTGTAGATCGAAACATTGGACCAAATAGAACTTACTCAGAAGGAAAGCGAGAATACCGGAAAAAGAAAATACTTAAAAGAGAGTAGAAAAAAAAAGGGAGGTCCAAATCCGACACCAAAACCGTCGGAGTGCATCTAATTGAATCCGAGTACAGGCGTTGTACGGCACGCGAAAATTTAAACCCCTCCAGTTCCCCGCTCACTTGCCCTACCCTCTTTATCCCACGTCACGTCGCCCATTTAGAGCGTTGGCAATCGGAAAATTCAGGTTGTCAGAGTTAATCCGTTCGTAGATCGACTTAACGGATCAAGTTTTGGCAGCAAGCTTAGCTCAGAGTTCGGGAAAGTCGAAGGCTACATTTAGGCCCGCGCTCTTTCAAGTGGAACGACAGAGCAGTAAGCCTGGAGGGAAAACTGCCACGCAGAATGTAACGCTACTCTTAGAGGCAACAGGGTTATCGTGAGTGGTCCGCCTTTAAGCTTCGCGCGCTCTACCGACTAAGCCTGTGGCGCGGATTTTTTTTTTATGTACTGTTGTCGGGAAACGCGAAGTGACACAGTTATAGCCAGTGCTTTCGTAGGACGCAAGCACTAGGCTTTTTTTATTTCAGTTATATTTCTTCCTGACCCTCTTCCGACTATAAGTCGTCGCAATAATAGGGAGTTTCAGTAGATCGTTACGATATTGATACCCGATAATAATACTACGATGCTCGCGCAAATGCGTCGAATGAGCATCGGGTATCGTTATCGGAGGTATCGGAATGATATGCGTTGCGTGAATTCGCTGAATTCGAAAATGGGTGAACGACGGATTGTTGTTTGCCCCTTTTTAAACACGTCAACCCACACGTACACTTTTCTCTCGCTAACGCAGTCATCTCCGTACTGTTTTAGCATTCTTCTAAGAACTTGAGGTTCTTTGAAGCCTCAAGCTTAGAAGCTTAGAAGCTTAAGTTCTTAGCGGCTAAGGGCGCAGCCATTTTGCACACTGCGCGACACTGTTAATGCAAACTAGCGATCAGAGTATTTTTTTAATTTTTTCTCTTTCACTCCGGATCAAAAAGCTGCCATCAAATATGCGAGTATGACGGAAAGTAGTCGTATGAGGAATTAACCTGAGCGGTAAATGCTGGTGTCCGTTAACACCATTTCGAAGTAAAATGCGAAGAAGTGCCAATTTCGGGTTCGCACTACTCTATCCATTAAACACGTAAATCCACCTATCGGGGGAATCCTTCTTAAGGGTTTCTCTTCCCCATGTAAAAGTTCGAAATGCCTGCGGCGTGGCGTTTCTTCGATAAACTATTGTTAATGTTCGGTTACTTTTTGAAACACACTCGTTATTCCCAATCCGAGTTGTGCAGGTTAGAGTGTTACGGAACGTAAAATGCCTATGCGCGTGATATTAGAGCTGATAAAATAAGCCAGCGTTTGTAATACATCGCGTACACATTTAAGGGAAACGTGAAGGTGTACTCCCAATAAAACGCAGGATAAAGCGAGAGAAAGAGGGTGAGAGACGAGAAGGGGGAGAGGGAAATTCGAGGCTCACTGAAGCAGTGCCAGACGCGGACTACGTCCAGCTTGAAGCTTCCCAGGAAGCCGTACTCGTGGAAGAGATGCACCAGCAGTAGCGGCATGGAGCGGCCACCCGAAGACACGTCCAGGGCAAAAGTGTTGAATGCCCACCGGTCCACTTGCCCAAGGAGACGCTGCAGCGAGAAAATATGCAGCCCCACAGTTATACGCCCGTCAGCTCCTCCATGAAGCTATTTGAAATCAGTAATCTACTCTTATAACGCGTCTTCGACTGGAGCTCTCTATGCGGCCGGCTAATCGACGGAAATGACAGCAGCCCCAGTTTCGAAGGCCGAGACAACTACGATGCTTGGTTGCATTCGTCTTTTTTCGCAGACGGTTCTATAACCCACTACCAGAAAAGGAACAAGGCGAATCCGTTGGGTGGCAGCTTCTGTGATATACAGGGTGACAGCGAAAATGTTTACCGCGCTACTTCGCCGCATAAATGAACTACGCATCGCCGAACAAAGTCTCGATCCACGCGTGGCGCTTGCGGTCATTAGCAGATGCCAGAGTTTCGGAGCTTGCCGCTATCTCTTTCAAAAGTGATATGTCATTAGTGAAATTTTAAATAACAAAGTGAGGCCTGTTCGTGGTAACCGACGGCATTCATCAGCACGCCTTCGGTGATTTGTCAACTACCATTTTGTTATCATTTTTTTTTAAATCACTAATAATTTTTAATTAGAAAACGGCAAGCTCTGAAACTGTGGCACATGCCTTGGACCCCTTAAACTACATTCGGACAGAGACTAAGCGTACAAAATAACGTAATTTATTTTTAAGCAAAAAAATTTTTTTTCGCGCGCGTTTAGTATTTTTTGTTACTGCGGGGACAATTCGACACAAGTACGCTAAACAAATACCAGCGAGAAGACATCCCCAGCGCCTTTCTTTCTCTAACGTCATCAGTAGTGGATCCACCCAGCAGATCCACTCACACATGCAGGGGTTGCGGTGACGTCAGAACGCCGAGCTCTGATTGGCTCCCAGCCAGAGCCAATCAGAGCTCGGCGTTCTGACGTCACTGCGACCCTTGCGCAAGAAGCAGACGAACATGGCTGGCGTCCGGGTCGCCGCTGGAGCCCGTCTCGCAGCGTCTCGCGAGTGCAAGGCTAGCAAACGGCGACGCCGAGAAGAGGCACGCGTCTGCTGCTTTGTCACGTGTTTTGGCCAAGCTTCGGCGTGTTGGCCACTTGGTGCGGGTCGGGACTGGGGTCCACTAACCACGGGTTCATAAGCAGCGTTTAGATGGCCTCCACTCGCCTGTTTCACCGACGCTTCTATGACCGGTCTGAGAGCTTCCCAGGATAGCAACAACGAGTGGCTTCTGTGACGTATTTTATTGCTACATCCTGGCGGTGACAGCTGTAAAGAGACAAGTAACGCTGTGCCTCGGGCGTGAGCTCTCTGTTTTCGCTAGCTCTTCGTCGTACGCGCAGCCAAATCCTGGTGGAAGGCAACCAGAGAGCTTGGAGGTTCTGCTGGCTTTTTAACCTGTCACCATAAAGTTCATATATATACCAACTCCAGAGGAAAAAGTCTGCCATTTTCCTACGCATTCTGGCTGCCGCAAGCGGCGGAGCATAGAGGCAGACCTCTGGAGTGCCGCACATGGTTACCAACTAGCTTTACCTGTGATTCGCTAGATTCCACGGTCTTTGTGAGGACGAATCCCGTACTTACCGGTGGAAAGATATTCGCGTTCCTTTCGAAGCTTTCGTTTTCCATAGCGCGCAGGTGTACGCCGTCGCGTCAACGCTAAACTAAACCAGGTAAGCGGCTTCGCGCTATGGTTTTGATAGCCGCGCTCGGGAATACGAAACCGCGTAACCACCAGACTTTCCAGATTTCGACAGAAGGGAAGTTAATGCAGCGTTATGAGTATATTGATTTTTATAAACGTTAGAATAGCTCAGAAGTTAGTTTACAACGTTAAATTATCACTATTTATTTTGCTGAGGGTTTTCAGTCTTCGCGATTACCGTCCTTCAGCTGGTAACACTGATTTTTTTCTCTTGTGTTCTATCACGCTCTTTCGCGATATTTCACTCGGGACGCCAGATGTCGGCGCACGGGATTCGCCACTTCTCCTCGCCCACATTTACGCCCCTCCCCCCCCCCCCCCCCCCCCCTTCCCGCCTGTCACTGACTATTAGCCCCGAGAGCGAACACAAGCGTCGCTGCGGTCGCCGCGCCCTGATTGGGTGAGGTGTACCGTGACGTCAGCGCGAGTACCCCGCTCCGCGATCCCGCATCGGGTTGCTTCCCAGCACCGGTTTCCTGGTTTGGCGTTGTGTGCCGCAAGCTCTTCGAGGAGCCGGACTTCGTTTACCCGGTGTACAAGACGTTGAGTTAGGTTGATATTAACGTGCTTCCGTACATTTTATAAGCCTGCTTGTCCCTTTTACCTTTAAAATTGGGTTACAAATCCCGAAAACTATCGGCGGAGGCAATTACGCCGATGAACCTCCCCGTCCGTCCACACGACGCAAGGCAATCTTGAGAGGGGTCGGTGAAGCGGTGACGCAAGTGTTTCAGACGCTGGAATTCTGTTCCTTGCATGTTCATGATTTAGGACGATATTACATCCCGCTTTCAAGGCATCCGAAGCGGCCTTTGTATCATGGGCCTTTCGGTGGTCGGCAAATTAGCTCGCGACCCCGACTCTGCGCTGCCACTCTGCATGCGCTTGTTCGCAGAAGTTTTAAAGGCCCTGCGTCTGATGATCTTTAAAGTGCTCATAGAACAGGGTTGTTTTACATAAATGTAGCTTCTTCCTGAATCAATTATATAGTTTATACGCGTATGCAGGCATATTTCTTAGAGGATTCACAATTACTGGAAATTAGTTTGTATGGCAGCAGCAAAAACGGCCGAATTTCCCCCAGTTGCCTCTATGATATGTAGTAAACTGCCCAAAATATGCACAGCAATAGTACCGTAATTTGGTATGTTTATACTTCTTCCTGACATTATGTCTGTCCAGTGGTAGATGCAGCACTGGTAGCAGAAAATATGGAACCTGTGAAGGGCGACAGTCTGCGTGAGAAAAGCTTCTGGTGCTTTAGCTTCAGGACAATTCGATTTAAGTAAAATCTCAATTTTAGGGCTTAATGGACTAATAACGGGCTAGACACCATAACTTACGTTTGTTATATATTACTTGAGGATTGATATAAACAAGTCCACAGATACCACCCGTGTAGTCCATTGAAATACTATCCGAATCCAGCAAAGGTCAGGTGCGAGCAATGTATATAATAAATGTTCCTTGTTTTTTTTTTTTACTTTGGCCCTGCACTTGGGCTGTCTTCCTTGTGATTCTCTCCCCATGGCCGAGACTGTATTTAGCACGTTGCTCGAGCAGCATGCAGCTTTTCTGCTTCGGCGATCTTGTTTAAAGACAGAGATACAAAAAAAAAAATAGTATACATAACCTGCCAATTCATTCGGACCATCAGCAGCGTTTATTGTGCAAGATGTAAATTTGTATTGATGCCCCTGCAATTGTGGCCATATTTCTTTATTTTCACATACCATGCAGCTGTGGTTCATGCGTTGCCTGGCCGGTCAGCCATGCTTAAAATGTTCGTTGAAGTCTCGCCTGTAGCTACAGGCCATACCTCAATAAAGGCATATATAAAAATTTACACTTCCTACGAAAAACACGCCAAAAAAAAAATTAAATAGAAACGAGCGCGCCGACAGCTAGCGTCGTCACAGCCTCCACAGGGCGAGCGGGGCGAGTCGGGGAAAAATTCTCTCCTCGCCGTGACGTCACCCCGGTTCGCCGTAAGGGGGCGCCAGGCGAACTTCTCGGGGCTAATAGACGCCTTCAGGCCGCTGCGCATGGGCGCCGCCATAACCGACCTTCAGTTTTTTTGTTTCGCCTTTTTACGTTCGATTCATTTCATTATGACCACAGCAGGGAAAGTTATTGCCATTTTAGATTCTACTTTTTCCTTTCCCCGGCACTGGTCTTTGTGGAAGCTAATCAACGCCCGATTCAGTGGCCCTGCATCTGGGTAAGTCAAGAGAAGTTCAGCAATGGCGGCTTAACCTGGCGCGTGTTTAAAGCGTCCCAAGGGGACGGTCCGCGACGCATGGGCATATAGCATATGACGGTAAACACTCTCGTCGGAGACGCGTGGATCCAGGTACCATAAATAGTACACTGGTATACTTAATAGTATAATATATCATAAATAGTATATTTATGGCCCTAATCTGGACACTTGGCGAAAATTATGGCGAGAACTCCGGCGGCCATGATTGGTCAACCCCCCACTAGACCTTGGCGCCGGCCAATCATAGCCGTCCAATTTCTCGACGACTTTTTCGCCAAGTGTCCAGATTAGGGCCCCTGCTCGACTGTTTATGGCGAGAAGTCTGCACTGACAGAAAGAAAATACGGCGCTACGGCGAGCGTGCGGTCTCACCTCCGACACGCCGTGGTAAGAGTCGTCCAGGATGTTCATCAGGTGACTCCACGGCTGCAAAACGGGCTGTCGCTCCCGTCGCCGGTAGAGCGTCAAGAATGGTGTAGTGGTCAGCGGGCGGTCAATGCCAATGTCCAGCGCTAAGAAAGATATAGAAATCAGCGTCACATTTGTGTTTAAGATACTGCATCTCTCTCTCTCTCTCACACACAAGCACAGGTGGACTGCGTCAACACGGAACTTTTAAGCTGTTGTACCGCTAATCACCCATTTACACTATCATAAGGGTAACTTAATCTAAGGGACCTTTATGGTTGTCGGCGACTCAGTTAGCGAACCTCCGCAAGCGGCATTCGCTCGTGACTCCTGTGAGGGGGTCTGATTCGCCGATGGCAAGGGACCTATGGCAAAGGTACCATTATGCAGGCCATGTCGACGGTGAAGTATACTATCTTTTGAATGTCCGTTCGGTGGAGCTTGGAGTAAGGCGTCCCCTTTCACAATGGTTCGCGGATGTGTTTTTTGAGCCGCTGGTACGAGATGGCGCCGAACATTGGAAATTGCGAGGATAAAGGTCCTTCAGTCTTGCGTTAAATAAATACGTTTCAAAGCAAAGATTTTAATCATGCCTTCGCAAAGCTTGAAGACGTAATTGTGGGATCAAAACCACCCGCCTGATGACAGTCAAGCGCGGCTCATAGATTGTCCACGAGAACTGCGTAAGCACTCGACTTAGGCTCGTAAGAATCAATGTCTCGGCGGACACTCGGGTAGTGGCTCGTGTCTAACAACTGCAGTAATGAGAAAAGCCGAACTCTAACAATGCCTGGAGCTCAGCACGCGTTTTGTACTTTGCCAACCCCAGCGTGTTGCAATGATTAACGTTGACGCCATAGGATAGGCACGAGGCCACGTGGACGCTTGTTCTGGCTCCGAGTGGAGGGGATGAACGATGCTTATATTTCTCGATTTTTCTCTTTAGAGCGCAGCTCTTCGGCGCCCGTTTCCGGCTTGAGCGGCGTCGGCGTCGGCGTAACAGCGAGCCCCCCCGAGGACCTCGGGCTCCTTTGGGAGGACCTCGGGAGGACCTCGGGTTCCTTCGGGAGGACCTCGGGTTCCCTTGGGGGACCTCGGGTTCCTTCGGGGAGGGGGGGGGGGGGTCCCGTGACCCCCCCCCCCTCTCTCTGAGGTCACATGCCCCTCCCCCCCCCCCCTCAGTACCCTTCCCTCCTCCTCCGCAAGAGCTGCGCTCTAATTCGGCGTTACAGGGAGTTGTAAACGGCTTTCACTTTTTGGCAACTGCCATTGCCTAGAAAAGAAGAAAAAAGTTTAAGGCAAGTTTATTCATTTATTGACGTTAGAGAGGCATTCTAGGTAGTAACTAGCGGAAGTAGAAAATCGTTTCATGGCTACTTTAACAGGACAAAGTCCCGCTTTCTCCGACCGATTCTCAAACTAATAAGTTTCAAGCGGATAAGGTATCCCGCTTTTATGTCCTGTGTACACCAGGGGCCTTAATCTGGACACTTGGCGAAAAGTCGGCGAGGAATTAGACCGCCGTGACTGGCCGGCGCCAAGGTCAAGCGCGGCGCAGGTTAATCACAGCTGCCGAATTCCTCGCCGACTTTCTCGCCACGCGTCCAGATTAGAGCTCCAGTACGAAAAACAACGAAATTTCTCTGGTGTCGCAAGAAAATCTGCTCTTTGGGAACCTATCCACTTTTCGGTAGAAGCGGAGTGATTAGAAGCACATTCATGTCCGATTAATAGGTGACTCTTAAGTTTAAAAACAAATGCTATCAAAATGCATTTTTTAAGTCTTCAAGAAGTACATGCTATATGTCGTGCTAGTTGAACGTAGCCCTTTGAAAAAGCCGTAAAATAAACAAAATATCACCACAAAAACATAGGTACAAGGTCAGTGCCTCTGTATAAGGTCAAAAACATGACATTTGTCCACCAGTGCAGTGGATCACCGGAGCATGGCGCTAAGCGCCAAAGTTTCAAGAATCCTTCCTTCTCTCTCACTTTCGGCTACCTTCTTGGCAGATCTGCCAGGTTTCTACCGCTGCTTTAGGGATGCAAACACTGAGCAATGGGTTCTCACCGAACAATCGCCTGCCCTGTCCTGTCGTAAACATCGAACGACCTTACTTCGAAGAAAACGACTCTAATTTTAACTCGGAACGTTTTGCAAAGTTCGCCAGACTCGAACGCTCTAGGTGTGTGTGTGTGAGTGTGCGACCAAAATTGCGATCGTTTCCAGTTTACTTAGAGTTTACCCGAAAAGCGTGGTATCCAGCAAGATCCAGGCCACAGCTGTCTTCGACAACAGAACACAGCTCTTACCTCTTCCAAAAAAAATTGCCGTCCAGTCTAGCCTTCCAACTCATCGGCTCATAACACACACACAAAAAAGACAAAAAAACCGTCAGTTTTTTTCTTGTTTATAGGATTGCCCAAAGTTCGTTGTACTTTATTTTCACTTAAACGCCGAGATTGAAAAAAAATATGTATATACATTTTTTATCTTTCAGACTACAACAGAGTGTCCTTCTTTGCGGAGCAGGTCGCCACATCTGTTTGCCTTCAAAACCTAGCTCGCGAGGCAAGAAAGAAAAAAAAGTAAATAAAAGACTTAAAAAAAATCGCGACAATAACAAAAAATAAAGTGCCCCGAACTTGGCAGGGCCCAAATAAACGGCCCAGCTCTTTCCCCCGCTTTGTAAACAAAATGTGCTTTGGAACAAAGTGTCTTAGTAAGAGCGCGCGTGTGACGCCTGGCTGATTTAAATTCGCCAAGTTGCAAGTACGCGGGAGAAAAAAAAAGAAAAAAAAAAACGGCTAAGCAATTGAAAGGGACTGGGAAGAAAGAACGTTAATAAAGAGCTGAAAAAAAAAATCTCTCGGCTCTTTTGGTTTTACCACCGCCCAGCGGTCAGCGGCTGGCTTTAAAGAAAGATTTACGAACGCCACAGCGCCGGAGCTGTTGTGGAGTGGCCAGGTCATCCGGAGCAGTTCATAAATTCAGCTACACTGGCATGCTGGTCACTCACCTCACCCATTCTGCTCGCCGAGGAACATTTCGCTCTTTCTTTTTAGCTCTATTTTTTATTTCCTTGACCATCCCACGCTCGGTATTGTCTATCACTTTCGTCCTATTATATTTTTCTGCGCGTATTGTGTGGGCCGACAAAACTAGCACCGAAAGTCGCACCAGCGTCCATTGCAGTGGCCATTTTGCTGCTGAGTGCGTACCATCTGAAACGCACATTTAGCCCCGTCGAATTGGTTTTTTACTCGGCCAGAACAAGGAGGAATGACTACTAGCAGGATGCGTTGACGTCACGTGCAAGCCATGTATAAGGTGTCCCAAGCAAACCTTACGCTGTAAAACAAGCCGGAAAAAGCGCAGCGCCTGCACATAGAGAGCTCTAACTTTCACCGAATGTGCACTGAGCGAGTCAGTGTTACCGGGTGAAATATGAAGGCGTAGCACTTTTCCAGTAAAAAAATTAAAGCAAAATGTTTGCCGAAGTCCAGGTTAGGTGCTTTCGCAGATGATCGAGTAACCGACGCTATTAACTCGTGGCGCCATCTCCCGATAGGCACAGCGAGCAGACAACAAAGTGCGTCGTCTTCTCGCGGTGCCTATCGGGAGATGGCGCCATAAGTTAATAGCATCGGTTACTCGAACGTCTGCGAACGCACCTTACGTGGACCTCGGAAAGATTTTTTGCTCTAATTCATTACAGGAAGAAAACTACGCATTGAGATTTCACACGGTAACACTGACCTGCTCAGTGCGCACACACGGTGAAAGTTAGAGCTGTTTTTTCCGGCTCGTTTTACAGCGCAAGGTCCGCTTGGGACACCTTACATACAACCTTCCAGCGCTTGTTACCAAACGGTAAATGCCGATTCGAATGGCTGCGCACGCATGCGTGGCGTACTGCGCATGCTCAGAACGCGTTCCACAGCCCATTAGACCAAGATGGCAGCGCCCAAAGGGCGATCACTATATTGGATATCCAAGTGTCAGCTGAACGGGCTACTTTATTTTAAGAGGGACCTTAAAACGACTGCAATAATGTTTAGAACGAATCTCCGGTGCTCATGTGAGGGGAGGGCTGAACAACGAAGAGTAACAGTACGGTGTCTGGAACGCGCCTTTGACCGGTGTGTTTACTGCGTCCAAAAAAAAATAGTCCCTCGATTATTTCCGCCTTATGACGTCATAGAAAAGTCACGCTGTCGTCTGCCGCGATCCTGGCGGTGTCACGGCAGCGATGGTGGTGCCCGTTCTGCTGCAGGTGACTTTCCAGCTCTACAGTTCATGGAAGCTTCGGCGGCTGGGTGTTGGGACGCCGTGACGGAAGCGACACTCTTCCTTGAGCTTTCTTATCGGAACTTCGACGGCCAACCACCAGGATCGCGACATCCGACAGCATTGCATTATGGTTTTTGTGACGTCATGTGTTGCCTCTTCGCGACCGTTTTGATGCGTGGGCAGGGTAGGACGCAAGAGACACCGGTCGAAGACGCGCTGCAGTCACCTCCACCCTCATAAGTATAATGGGTGGCAGCACATATACACGGCAAAGTAGTGAGATGTTGCGTGGATTCACCATCTAGCACCTTAATTAACGTGATGCCACTACAGTTAATTGTTTTTTTTATACTGCGAGAAATTGCAATTTCTGCAGGACCCTCGTTATCGCGTTTTTTTGAAATTAACATAAGAATGCAAGTCGTTTATGGTGGCCCTGTTGATGTGGGCATTCTGCGTCGTTGGGCCAAAAAGATATCAAGTCCCCTCTAAAGTAAACAAAACCAAATCACGAGCTTACTCCGGAAATTCATTTTTTAGATGCAGATGGTGCTATGTATGGGGACATTTTAGATTTAAAATTAACTAATTGTCATCGACCGTCCTACGTGCACGGTGTGATACGCCTCTCAAAATTAAACGATTACAATTATCAACACAAATTTTCCCCGCCTTCGCTATGCATCAATGACTAGAACTGACATTGTCGCCAAAATGTAATACAATTAATTTTTTTAAATTCAAATAGATTAGATTTATTTAAGTAAGATTTCTTTTATTTAAATCCGATTAAGAATGAACTCCTCCATAGCAGAGCAAAGACAGCTTGATATTTCTAGGTTAGTGGAAAAAGCTTTATTGCATTTTCTTTTGGGTTCTGATTTTCTTTTATTAAGACATTACTTTTATAACATTAGTTACTTTCCTTCGCGACCTTATTAACTTACAACAGGGCGTTATGTAATCCACTAAGTGAACGGTAGAAAGAAAGTTCATCATTCCGATTTGCTCAGAAGACCACAGCTCTGTGCTCGTGATAAGCCTGACACACATATTTATTGTTTGATGATTCCTTCGTTTAAAGACTAAACAAATTTACATAGTGAGCATCAAATGGACAATCAGTAATAAAACAAACTGGTTTTGAGATTATGTTTGTGGAAAAGGGTTGAATTAAGTCATCATTTTAAAACCGGTGTGATTTAAATCACGATATAAAGAATTATTTAAGTAACGATATAAATCATCTCGATTTTGATTCACCCTGATAGTAACTGACAGTAGCTATCTTTCGTTCCGCTCCAAATGCAAAACTTTTTTTTTATGTAGTATTTTGTGTCCCTCTACCTTTTAGCCATAAATCGTTCATTGAGATTTTTTTTTAATTCTTCGCTCGTTAATTCACTTCACTACTCGTGCAATACGTCCGAAGGATATCTTTTAGGGTGTAAACTTGAACTTGAACAAGAAAAAAACCAACTCAGAACGTCACTTTCTAGTGCCACAAACTTTAAAAAAAAAAAAAAAAAGGTGTAAGAAGATTTGCGAGGGAAATCGGCAAGTACTCCCGCAACATGGCCACGCGAAGCCACACACTTCACATGACATCAGCGACGCAATTGAGAGACTGTATCTCGACACGCTACAACATCCACTGCGTTCAGTCCAGACTTACGATCTGCAACCTCAGTCCTTTTTTCCGAAAATTAAAGAGTAGTTTCATGAACATCACTATGACTCTAGTTAAAGAAAACCTGAAGCTTATTTTCGTGAAAACTGAGCTTGGTGCAGATTCGTGTAATCTTTTGTCCGGTAAATTCGATTTTCGCGCTTTAATTGGGCTGAAGTAAAGGGAAAGTGCTTTAAGTTGAGAAAATGACAAGCAGGGACTGCTGCAGGGCATGCGGCGAGGCTCTCTGCCGCCTGCTATCTATCCTAGGCGGAATGACGTCATCAACGGCTTCTCCAAGCCAGCTTAGCGGCGAGCGAGGGCCATCGGATCCCGCCAAACACGTCACTTTCGCTGATTTAACCCTCTGCTTGCGTGCAGCAGTAGGCAGGGCTGCGGCCATCCAACTTTTAATGGGCAATCACGCCGCTTGTGCTTGTAAAATTGAAAGAAAACTTCAGACATAATTTTTTGTAAGTGCCTAGGTTTCACTTTCAGAGTTGAATTCAGACACTTTTTAACTTCTCCTGATGTGGCTGTGATGGCAGCCAACAACTGGTTACCTAAGCAGAAAGGGGAGCCTTGCGTGACGGTTTCACAAAACTTGTTCCTCGTTGCAAGGGGAATTCATTTGTTGGGTGAATGCGTTAAAAAATGAGTACGGGAAATCGAAGAGAAAATCCTAAGGATAGCTTTCACGCTGCATTTAATTCAATATTCGCACCCAATCAGGAAAGCAATAATTTTCATTTAACCCTCGTAGTATCGGAGTACCTTTATAGCTATGTGATCAATCAGATTCACAGCGGTAACCGGATTATAAAATCCGAAACTGGCCCCAGGAAGGCGTCAACGGCCTTGCCAGTTGGGTTCGCTGCAATAGTCGAATCGCAGCGAATCGCGCGCTTCAAAGTGAACATCTTTTTTCCTTTTTTTTATAATTCGTGTGACGCAGAAGAAGACAGATATGGTTGCCAGGGTACCTCGGAGTTGTATGCTGGCTAACTCCAGGACTCTACCGCTCTCACTTTGTGATTGGTTCCCCGGCGTTCTGATCTGCTAATGTCGCGCTCTCATTGGCTGCGCGGCGATAACAAGATGCATGTAAACGCCACACCCCGCGCTTCCACAGCGCACGAAACGAACTAAAGTGCGGACTAAAGTGGTTACCTTCTAGAAGGTTGTACTCAGACTCGCTCAGGATGGCCGGTCTGGCTGCAACCGGCGATGCACCAGTTTCCTCCTCGCTGCATTCTGAAAAGATTGAGAAGAACAGAAATGCATCATCCGGACACTGAACGTCGACTGTCGGTACTGCACAATCTACTTTAATCTGATCTTATCTTAAAATCAAATAATTATTCGGTATCCGCTAAAAAGGCAGTTGATTGCTTCTTTCAATAGACCCTTTCCGAAATTCAGTCTGGCCACTTTGATCACTATCATCATCTGTGGAACAGCATATGTGAAATAACAATGGCGGCCTTCTAGTGACTGATAAAGGAAGACATTGAAGATGGTCCTAAGTGGATGATGCGAGGCCTGTACATTCGGGGAGTCAGTACGACGCGACGTAGGAAGGGAACACAAGAGCTCCGTAAGCGTTTATTTCTAATAACTCAGATTCAGTCAATCTGCGGGCGGCACACAATCGGGTTTAAAGCAATTTGGTGTATAGAATTTTCTCGAGGCATCTGAGTGGGTTGGAGCTTTGTTCTGAATGCAGGTTCTTGATCACTATCGAACTGAAAGTGATCGAGAAAAAGCTCACACTGAACAATTCCTCGCGTGCCGTTTACCTGCGAAAGTCGCGGTGCCGATACAAGCTCCTTTCCGCCATTGATATGGCAAAACCTAAACTGCTTTAAAAACCACCAGATGGCACTGAATTTTGGGAAGGGTCTATTGCGGAGTTTCTGGGTTATTAAAAAAAATGTAACTGGAGGGAGAGAGACGTGGTCAAAGTTATTCTTAATTCTAGGCTTGCTGCGAGTTTTCCACGCCTTGCGAATCTCTAGTACACGGAAACAGAAAGTCTTATATGATTGAGATGAAATAAAAGCGACGTATTGGTTTCAGCATCGGTTTACATATTTGTTCGCTCGAATTTTTGATACGAAGAGTGCTGGCTGCGTGACCGACCATAATTTTTCGCGAATATATGTGTCCGGGAGAACATTTATCTGTGCGATGGTTGACATACAAACATGATTTCTCGTTCCCGCTGTAACGCATACATACACGTTTAAATGCATCAAAAACTAGTTATAATGGCGAGCATGGTTATAGCTTTAATGAAAATAAGATCAGGTTAGATAGAGTCTTCTATATTTTGCTACGAATCTCGCTTCACTTAGAATCATGCTAGCGCTATTTTCCTTAGGCATGGAAACATTTCGGCGTTATTTGTTACGGTCTTCCCACTCGATTAAAAGTTGACGGCAAAACCTACTAAAAGACGAAAAAAAAGTGGCTTCGCTACCTGACAATGTTTACTTACAAAGCCGATAAAAATAGAGCCTCCAGTCTCACCATGTGGCAGTGCACGTTACTGGCCATCACCGAGTGTGACGGTAGTTCATAAAAAAATATATATCAAATGAAAAAGTAGTACGTACTATAAGGCAGGAGGTCGAGCAGTCACGCCCCTAAAGGTTCAGTTCAAAGGTGGGGAAGACCTACATAAGTAATTTGTTTCTTTTTGACGCAGGCGTCGGCAGCTTTAGCCTAAGCTGTGCGTCAGCGTGTCGCTGGGGTTCCTGCTTCAATCAGTGAAGCATCCATTGAACGCGAGTGTCAGTTGAACGCTCACCGCTGACACAGAACTCCAATATGTGAACCGCGCTCGATCGAGGTAGCTGAAGCAATATATCGATTTCAGCGGCCTTCATTTGAATAAACGGCGAGCTGTGCGGCAAACAAGGCGGACGAAGTGTCCCCCACGCTCCTTTCCAGCACTTAACAAGCAAAGGTAAAAAAATGCCGCGTCACCGCGCAGTGGACGCGTGCACGGCGTTTTGATATTTCGTAGTAGAGAGCTACTACGCATCCTCCGAACGTCTCAAACAACCACGTAGACAAAGATGGCAGCGGGTAGAAGACGAGTAGTGGGATTATTAGTCTCCTCGCCAACAGTTTATTAGTCTCCTCGATCTCCTCGCCACCAGTTACTTAAAACAAAACCGGGACCCGTAACTTTCGTTGCACGTGTACAACAAACTTGACAACCAAAGCGACGATCACAAACGACTCTTAAACCCGAGGAATAACCTCCAATACGCGCTGCAATCAACCGTCTCCCAATAACTTGTTTACAGCTCAGCGAAAGACAACCACAACCCAAGACACCAAAGGAAAAGAGAAAGAGAGAAACCCTAAGCTCGAAGCCACGATAGCTGCCAGCCAACCCCCCAAACAGCCGCGATAAAAAATAAAATAAAAGCTACCTCAAAAAAGATCAAGGCTTAGGAGGAGAAAGTAACGAACAAACAAAACAGGACGAGGACATCAACTCCTAATAAAACGGAAACCAAATAAAAAATAAAAAAAGAACAACGGCCGAGCTCAAGCGAGCTGCCTTCTTAACGACCTTCCCCCCGAGAACAATAACTACCATCCGTTCTCCTCTTTGCCGACACGTTCAATAGGCGGCGCTCCCGAAATAGCAGCGAAGACGTCACTGCGGACACCCAATTTCGCGTCAAGTTCTTTGCCTCCCGATGCCTTCTCTTCTCAGGGTCAAAGGCTCGGAGATAGAGAGTTGTAGCGGGCACAGTGCGAAACCGCCGCAGTAAGCCTATCGAGAGATAGACAGAAAAAAAAAGAGGTTAAGGCGGGTAACCTTTTCCTCCCTGCGCTTAAAGCCGCAGTATAATTCGCGACTCCAGCAAAACAAACGGCACCTAGCGGAAAAAACACTGAACTGGCCGGTCCAGGTTCTTTCGCTATTTCTGCTCGTCTCTTCTGGCTTCGTGTTTACATGTTGGTGGTTTGCGCGACGGAAGAGTTGTCCCGGCGACTCATTAATAAGTTTAGTATGAGCTTGTTCCCAGGTTGCTCTGCACGCGATCTACGCAACCGCGTGAGCCAGATATTCCGCGCTTATCAGCGTTCATCAACACCATGGAAGGACAGCAGGCAGTCCATTCATCGCTTCCTCGAAGGAAGTTAAGCCTCTTGAAGTTCGCTTACGCCAAAGACATCGCCGCAGGTTCGAGACGTGGCAGATAAAAAAGCGGGGGAATCAGTTTTGAGTCCAATACTTGCTTGCTGATGCCCCAGTGTTGTGCATAGAGCTGGCACATGGCGCGGTGCAACCTGTATTAGACCGCCATATTTTCCCGATAGTGGCGTCCCCTATAGGACGCTGGAGTCACAAATAAGGCGTTGCAAGGCTCGAACGCGAGGGATGCTAGTGAAGTTTGGGCATGAATCTCGAGGTTCCACTGCTTCGGAGAAGCTTTAAATTTTCAAGCGGTAGCTTCAGCTACCTAGCCTGGAAACATCTCCATTTACACTCCACCCGCCTACATTTTTTAAGTATTTTTGTAAGTCAAGCCAAGTTCGACAAACGGACAGTGGAGAATCATTTGGTATATTTTTTTAATTAATTCACATTAACAAACTAGGCAAGGCATTAAAAGTACATATGTTTGCCTGGATACTGTGTAAGCAGTGGTAATAATTTTATATAATATCTAAAACGAACTACTTTATGAGTTATTCGTTTCCCAAAATTTGAAGGTTTTGGGTAGGTCGTGCACGATTTCTACACGAAAGATTCTAAGTTTGAGAAACCAATCATTTCTAAAGTAGTTCATTTTACATATTAATTAACATTATTACAACCCTTTACTCCGCTCTCAGACATCTTCAGTGCCTATCTCAAAGCTATGCACACGTTCTTTTACTATTTTTAAAAAGGTCAGAAAAAGACGTCACGACTGGTGTCAGTGCGAGAGAATATACTTATCGAGTTGGCAGTTGCACGCGTTGCCCACACGAGGGACACGCGCTTGACGGCAGAAAAGTCTGGGTGAGACGCAACGACCAATGGAAGGTTTTTCGTGCTGCCTCGCGTTTAGTTATATCTGCGGGAAAACGAACGTTACATTTAAAATTTTGAGAGCTAAAACAGCGCATGCGGACGAGGGTACCAGATGAAGAAATACAGAGGCACAGCGCTGCGTCTGTGTATTTCTTCAGCTGATCCCTCGTCCTTTGCGCTCTTTCGATTCTCAAAGACGCCATACCAACTAGCCCAATCCTCAACTTTACCAACGTTATATTCACATTCACGGGACGTAAATACGCGAACAATTAACCTCCAATTCGTTTTTTTAAGAGCCTTTTCACTTTCTTTTTAATTCTCCACATAAAGGGGGAAATTAGTAATGCTACGCGAGAAGCAGGACTCCTTTTTAAGACGGTTCTTGTGGTAAAAATAAGCATAGCTCAAAATAACCACCATTCTAGCGAGCGCGAACCGGTGAATGTCTATTTTTGGTGCACAGCCTGAAGTCACACACAAAAACTAACAACCAACAAACAACAAAAAACGGGAATTGTAAATTTTTAGTCAATGTGACCCTCACAAAATTTACAAACAGAATTATATATATATAAAAAAAAGCGGGACGTTCATTCAGGCCTAATTGGGAGGCTTCCGTTTCCACGCATATTGCTTCAATGGTGACTGTGACGGTGGCCGTTGGGGAGCAGTATTTTTGTTTTTGTCTTCTTTTTAAGGTGGCGCATTTCTTTTTGAGTTGGTGATGCCTCGAAGCCCGTGGATGTTTGACGGATTGGTAAAGCGCCGAAAGATCTATTTATGTATTGTGAAGAAGAGCCGAAAAGGCACAGAAACGTTGAGTTCCCAATTAGGAATTGATTGGACGTTCCCACTTTTTTTTTTTTAATTATTCTTCCAACCAGCCTGATCTCGGTCGAATGTTCACGTTCAAGGAATATTCCTGAGTGATGTGAATTTGTACGTCCACGCGTGCATGCATATTATCGTTAGCTATGTTTGAGACTTATCATCCCCCCTGTTTCCCCCCCCCCCCCTCCCCCGACTCTTTCTGCCGCAGGAAGTGAGCACCACCTTTGGAAATCATTGGGGCCCCGCCCCACTCATGTATGTACTAATTGAACAAAAGAAGTTGCACTTATACACTTTTTTTTTTTTTTTTCAGTGGTCGCATACATAAACAAAACTCGAACACACGAATGCACTCTTTTGCGGACAACGCGTA